CGCAACAATATTACAGTTATTATTTAACTAAGGCAGATGAACTGTTCTTATCTTCAGGATATCGTTTTCTTGGTTTATTAATCATGGATGACACTTGCTTTTCGCATCAGTCCATCTTCTTGATTCACCTTCGTTAGCAATTCCTAACTTTACTTATTGTATAAGGTCGAAACAGCGTCCATCAACATATTTCACGGCTTCCCATTGGGTACTGGTTTCTTATAAAAATACACCCCTTATTTTAACTGGGGCACATAGAATATTATCATCTTCAAGATATCATCTTCTTGGTTTATTAATAATGTGTGATTCGTCAGTCTCGATTGTAACGTCTATGTTTTTCACATTTGTAATAATTTCATATTTCTATTATACTTTGGGAACAATTTCTATTTCCTAAAGATTTTTTCTTTCTGCAGTTTCTGGCAATATACCATTTTAAGTTGTTATTGAAACACCTTCTGTTCAGGGGTTTAATATTTCTATTCTGAATTAAACAGTCATCTAATTAATGCTTTGGATTCTTATAGACCTCCAGAAAAGGGAGTTGGTGTTTCACCCTATTTCTTTTGATGATTTCATAAGTTCTGAATGGTGCTTTTAGTTGTTGATCTGCAACTTTAATTGATTCAAGCTCCATCAGTAACTGGACAGCTTCGTTTAAAGATGTACACCTACTTTGCTTTAGCCAAATTCATATATTTTCATCCGGTATGACATGTGAATTGGTTACATACCAACGAATTCATCATTTCACGTGAAGCATCTGGATAAGATAACTGGGTTGGGCAACTCTTTCCACATCTTCAGCAAGTACGTTTAAGGTATCATCCTTACTCTTTTCTCTGGTTCTAAACTTTGTTTTAGAAACTTTCTTCTGATGTGCCACTCTAAATCTGTTTGATAACGTGGTTATTAATGTTTGGTTGTTGTTGTTATGACTATTTGTAGAAAGGTTGTTTAGTGAACAGCTTGTTTAAACTACTTCGTCCTTCACTGGAAAATATCCCAAATTCTGCCTCATATGCCTCTCGCGGTACCTCCCCATCATAATGCGTTGGTTCCTGGATTGGACAATGTTCTTGAACTTGCCTGCTAAGTTCTATAACTCGATGAAGTAATGGTGTAACTGTACTAATGCAGGAATGTTCGGCAGTTACAGGTGCCAAAACAGTAGTAGTTGTAGTAACAAATGTAGACCAGATGGCTTCTCGCTATTTATATGGCAAACTTAATGATGTATGCGGTTGGAATTCTTGAGCAAATGCAGACAGAGGTAAAGTGGTTTGATCCTTGCATTTTTCAGTTCAGTTTCATTATGTTTAATTCCGGCCTTGGTATTATTTTGTATGTCATTGCTCTCGTTGTTATAATGTACTTTATTCATATCTTTTTTGTACTTCTTCAGTTTTGTTATTTTAATCATTTTGTACATCTCCTATATTTTTATAGCTTCATTCCCTTTATTTGCTGTGGCTTTCTCGAAGTAAAAAATCAGCTAAAAGTAATAATTACATAAAAGTGAATACTGTGAAAGAATAATCTTAGAGTTAGAACAATTTGCAGCTAGCTTTGCGGATTTCTATGTTAAGTTAGAAACTTTCTAAGTCCTAGTCATGAACTAAATTTGTAGTTGAAATGCGGAAAATCAGATTTGACACAGTTAAGATAAGTTGGTTGGTTGATTTTTGTTTTTTGGCGCAAAGCAATTAGGCTACTTGAGCCCAGCTAAGATAGATATAGCCTTTCAACAACTTCTTGAAAGCAGGAAGAGATTTAGGAAACCTGTATGACTACAATGATATACATAGCATTAAAAGGCTAAGAACTGGAATAACGTGGAAAGTGTTACTTAATATACCCTGATTGGCCATTTTATTAGTTATCCATACACTCATGCAACAAACATTCTAAGTACTTGTACATGTAAAACCAAACTCATTACACGATATCACAAATGATAGTTTAAGCATTATAATTACAGAAATACATTCATTTTTACAACTAGTCTGCGAGATGCAAGACAATACCAAGAACACGGAATGTAAGACTTTAAAAAGGGCAAGTTAGTGGGAACTCGTCTTACAGGAGTCTGGCTTTTGATTGGCTGTTCAAAGTCATTTGTCACAAAGAGTGCCAGTCGATACGAAAAATTTCTTCTACTGGGAAAAATTATGGATGCCAATTACTGGTAACTAATCAAGAGAAAAGATGACTAGACAGGATTATTAAGAGCCGTAGTTAATAGACTGAGGCCACAATAACGGATTCAGCTCTCTTTAATGGTATCTTTTGGAGAACATTATGACAAATCTCATTTGACAATCGACAACCACTCTGAACGCTGCTCTTCTCAAATGAAAACAGGAAGATATGCTTTAGAGGTGCGTCCAGCACAAATTATTGACAATGAGTAACTAGAAATGTGTAAGGTGGTCTGGTGAATAATTTTACACTCTTTTCATTACTAATAAAAGAGTACAAATATGGAAATATTCATAAGAGACATTTGTACCTACTTTCATTATTTCAAAGTACAACGTGTTATAATAAAAAGGAGCATGTTCTCGTGACATGAAAGTGTTTCTTGGGTTTCTTTAGAAATAATATTAAGATTTTACTGTACCTAACCGAGTTCTCAACACTGAGCAAACACTTTTAAAATCATATTGAAACAATCCATAGCGCTCGTGATCGCTCAAATTCATTTATAAGAATATGGTGGTGACTTTAGTCATCTTAGACAAACTGTAAAGATTACTAGCTCTAAATCCACTGAGAAACTTTGGACAAAGCTTAGCATTTGCTATAATTATTTTCTTTCGACAGTAACTTCTGTCTGTACCCTTAGACAAATGGGCTACTGTCGAACAAGGCACGTTCAAGCATTTCGTGTATATATTTTTTCGCTCCAAATTCAAGACATTATTAAGACAATAGGTAGTTCAACCTGATATTAAGGGCTAATAAAGTAGCCAGTCAGTATATATATATATATATATATGTTATTGTATTAAAATCTTGCATAATATAGCTATAAATGGTTTGAGTACTCATCGAATAAAGTCAAATTCGTATAAGCCTAAATTTGTAAAACATAAATTTATGTCAGAAGATTACGTTTTCTATTTTTTTGGCAGTGGTGGCCAAGCAATAACTTTGAATGCTTTCAACTTTAGAACTCTGGGACAAACATAACGCAGGTAGCCCAAAGGCAGGTTTGAACCGAAATGAAAACAAAGACGTTTTTCTTATTAAGTGATACTACCGCTTTTTGTTACAAATTACAATTCTTATTTGCGTGAAGAAAGGTATATTCACTTATTAAGTTATAGAAAGTATTAATTATGATGTCAGCACATCACAAATAACACGAAAGTAAATGACGTAAAACTAAGTTAGCAAATCCAAACACAAATAATATTCCAACAAAAGTTTAGTTTTTGGTGACTATTTTATATTCTATCACTGACTTGACTTGCCAAGTCCTAGTCTGCTCATTAAAGAGCAGAAAACTCGAAGTTGTTGGTATGGTAAGAATAAAAGAAACAGCTTCAAACAGCCTGGTGAAAAAATATAAAAAAGGTCAACTAAAACTGAAATAACCTTTTTAAAACCAGTTTTACTACACTCGGCTACTTAGCTTTGTCGCACTTAAAACTTGGATTAGTTAAGCGTGACTATTCAAAATTTGCCTAAAACTGTAACTTATTTTATATTCAGTTGGGAAGTTTAATTTTGCATACTTATTTTAATATTGTGCAAAATGTTAATTATATAGTAGTTTTCTAATTTTCTCTACAAATGGTAATACAGAATATTATTTACAACTAATCTGATTCCCTGGTGGACTTACAACGTAAAAATCCAGGATTCAATTCCTTCAGCGAGCAGAACAAAGGCAGCTCATTGCATAGTTTTTTCATAAAAAACAATAACGAATTTGGTTTGAATTAATAGCTAAGACTCAATGGACTACTCAATTAAATTATATATTCTTTATTATAGTCAGTAGCATGTTGCATAATAATTTGTGCAAAATTTAAAGCGTATGTGGAAAGATAATTTATATAGCAATAATGTAAAATGAAATGCGATAAGGACAAGACTATTCATCTTTTTTATTATTCAAAACGAGTAATTTAATGCGTGGTGATAATGAAATTAGAAACTTGTGGTGAGAATACTCGTTAATCTGTCTGTTTGGAGATCCACTGTTTTAATGTTAGTGGGGGAAGGGAATTTGAAAAAAATAAGAATGAAAAAATTAAAATGGTAGGGTGTCCTGTAGCGGAGGTATGTGGAGTTCGAGGAGTGTTAAAATCTGACAGCCACACAACCTCCCAAGTTTACGAGAAGGCTGTATATATGTATGATGGTGGGAGTTTTCCGCATACAATTGTTCTGTGGAGGAAGAGACGGACTGACAACAAAACAAAGAAAAAAATGTGGAGTGAGGTGGTCACTTGATCTGCTATCTACAGTAATGCAAGTTCAGTCATGGGACAAAATATTCCCACCTGAGATTTTTTTTTACTGTGTACTCCATTGAAAACCAAAGTATTTTAAAAATGCATAATTATGTTTCTGGTGACTATGTTTTCGCCACATCTCAAAGACAATTGCACAATAGACTAAAGTTTACAAAACCATTACAACATTTACAAGTTTAAATCAACTGTTTATGTTATTTGATTTCTCAAAAGATGACTATTGGAGTCACAGTACAAATGTACAACACGTTTTTGTATAGCTTAAGAGGGGAGAAAAAATTAAAATTGGTAAGCATACTTTGTTGCTGTGAGCAGCGATTTTGGCTTATTATTAGTAGTTTTGAGTGCGGATTCTTTCTTCTTTTAGTCCGGTTCACTGCACTGAGGTAATAAACTCAAGTATATTACAAGACCACTACTGTAGCAGACGACGCATACTAATAAGCTGAGCATGCGCACTATTTGCTATGGATTGTGGGAATTTCAGCAATTTGTTTTTTAGACTTATTATTTTTTTTGAAAATATATTTCAAGTAGTCGCTTCCACAGAACGTTTTGTTTTGATATTTTGAATTAGTAGTTGTGAGATATGTTTCGTGTCCGTCCCGCTGTCTCCCAGAAACTTTAGGGGACGCGAAAATGTCCCGTTTTGGGAGATAATGAGCCTAAATGTCCCACATTATCAAAATTAATACCTGTAAGCACAACCGTACTACTTAGTATTAAAATTCTTGTTTCCTTTATGGTATCATATGTCACTAAATTATTTTATAACGCTTACTTTATTAAATTCTTTAATTATTTTTTAACGGCGTAGAAGTAGAGGTAAAACTAACTGGCCCGTAACTTTTAGGGCAGCCCAAAACACCCTCTTTTAAAAGTAGGAGTAAGATTAACCACGTCCAACTTGGAAGTTGGCTAGCCCAAAAATCAAGACTTGGGGTACAGGATTTACTCATATAACAACAAAGTAATTTTTTTTAATCAGATTAGTAGTATTAGTAATACTAATAGTGAGCATAGTTTTAATAAGTTTATGATGTTTGGCATAAAAACTGAATTTTTTTTATCCAATTTGAGAGAGAAGTATAATAAAATACAATATCAGCTTCAGGTCAATCATAGCACAGGTCTGTAAACTTGTAATTCATAAAAATGTAACCTGTTGTTAGTTTATAAACAAACCATTATCTTTAGTTATTTACATAAAACTGCTCTTTATTGAGGTAGTTTTTTCTTAAATACACTTGTATTTTTAAAACTCCAATGTATGAAGGCGTAGGCCATTGTAATAAATAGAAACTCTCAAGCAGTTCTTAGAATGTAATTAGTTTCAGCAAGTTAACTTGTATAACTATAAGAAGTGATTTAAGAAAAGGTAGTAGTAAGAGAATTAGAATTGGCATGCCTTATATTTAGTTCAGGTATAGTGAGAAGTTAAGTAAAAAAACTTGTAATATCAGTAGATAAATTTGTAGTTAGCTGGCCTTTAAGAAATATTTCATTGTATGCTTGTATAACCAGTTATTCAGGTACATGGGAGCTTAAATAAAATTAAGTTTTCTGACAGTTTTGTGGGTCTTTCACAGTTTAAACTCTATTTATAAAGGTTTTGCTTTGTTATTTATTCATTATTTAAACAGTGAAAAGCTACAAGACCTAGAAATGTCCACTATCTGCTCAGAATATTCTGTACTTATTTCTACAAACATCTATATGACAAATGATATTGAGGTACTACTAATATTATTTTTTATTGATATATAAAAAAATGTTCTCTTTAGCTTTTCCAGATTTTAGTTAAAGGTACTTAATGTATTTCAATTTTGTCTACATCATATGCATAAGTGTGGATTTTACACACACACACACACATGTATATATATATATATATATATATATATATATATAAGTAAAGTAAGTATATATA